TGGTGAGATAAGGCAGTCGAGGGTTTATTTATCAAATTGACTTTATATGATTGTTAGAGTATTAATGTTTCGAAAACTTTTATAGTAAAATTTCTTTTAAATCTTTTAAAAAAGTAAAAATAGGTTTTTTAAACAATTCGAGTTGATCATTAAGAAGATTAATGTTATTATCTTTTTGAGTATTTAGAAAATTAGTTCAATAGATTATAAATATATTAATTGTGGTCATTTTAATATGTTTTTAACAATTTTGTTATTATATTATATAATCGTTATTTGATTTCTTTGTAGTTCGACTGAAGATGAGGTTTGTACCTCGAAACTAGTTTCGAATAAAATATAATAAAAACAAGTAAGAGGTTTTTATTCCTTAATAGATAACTTTCAACATGGACAACGTGATTAATTATCAAACTCACACCTCTAAGTTAATCCATGGATTTAAAAAACTATACAAGAAACTCGAAATAACGAAAAACCACATTAATTTCATAAATAAATGTCTTAAAGAAGAAGTGACACCAAACTTCGCAAAAATAAGATGCAAAAAACTAAAAACCTCAACAAAGAACTATATGCAAAGTAAGATAATGAAAGACGAAAAGAGACGGCATTTCAAGAATTTAAATAACATTTATGAAACTCTTTGTAAAAAACAAAGAGATCTTCGTAGCCAATTTCATCACTTGGAAGTTGAGGAAATTGTATTACAAGCGAGGAATGAAGCAGGGATACACAAAAGAGAAGATAGAAGAAAGAAAGACAGAAAATTTGAAAATTTAAAGAAAAAAGAATATAATAAAATAAGAACAAGAGAAGCACGTTGAAATAACACAATTTACAAATTTGACAGACATAGTCTTTGATGTGGAAGAAGTAAAATTTCTCAATAATGGTTACAAATATGCTCTTTCTTCTGAAATCGACCTTCCTAAGTTAACCATAGATTTCGATGTTATAATCAAAAATCATCCTAATTACGACGACATTAAAAATGAATTAATTCATTTTTTAAATAAAAACAAATTTATGAAAAACATAAAAGGGAAGAACATAAAATCCATAAAGAAAAAACTAATAAAGGGAAATGGTATTTTTGTGAAAGCAGATAAGGGAGCCGGAGTTGTTATTATGGAAAAGAGCTTATATTTAAAAAAAACATATGAATCCATGCAAAATAACAACTACACAAAATTTAAAAGCAACCCATTAGAGAAAATAGTTAAAAGTACAAAAGAAGTAATTAATGAATTTAAGGAAATCTTAGTTGAATATACCCCATATCTGAAAAATAATTGAAATAGAACTTTCTACACGTCAATGGTTTTGTATATGCACCCCAGCATACCGAAGTTATACTCCCTCCCAAAATTACACAAACCAGACGTGCCCATCAGGCCTATCACCTCGTTTAAGAACTCACCGATTCAAGGTCTAGTCAAATTCATGAAAAATATATTTAATAGCATTGATTTTGTACCTTCTTATTCCATAATCAATTCAAATCAATTCATAGAGTTGACCAAAAATATCAATATTGACAATTGCGTCTTAATATCGTTTGACATAACAAACCTCTACCCAAATGTCCCAGTTGAATACACTCTCGAAATAATTTCAAAAATGTTTGATTCACATTTTGACAACAAAAATAATGTAAAACATTTAAATCACATTCTTAAGCACATAGTAAAACAAAATCAATGCAGCTTGAAAGGAGAATTTTATTTGGTTACCGAAGGTTTACCCATGGGAATGCCATTATCTGGATTGCTGGCGGATATATTTTTGGATCATATTGAAAAGAATTTCATCATGAATGAAGGGGAATGAGGAATCTTTACATAACTTTCACAATTACATCAATGGTTTACAGAACAATCTTAAATACACACTGGAAATGGAAGAAAAACGAAAACTAAATGTCTTGGACTTGTGCTTAACGAGAAGCAAAGATCATTTAATTGAATATGGGATTTTTAGAACAACTTCAGCTATAGCCACTACCATACCGTACAATTCAGCACACCCTTTGTCCCAAAAATTAGCTAATTTTAGATTTTTAATTGATAGAGTTTTCAGCTACCCATTAACACAAAAGAACAAGACAGAAGAAATTAATTACATATTTGAATTAGCCCACAACAATGGCTTTCCTAAAAATATCATTGTAGGTTATTTCTAAAGCTCAAAAACAAAAGGATCCACTGTTTATTAGAGAAGTGCAGCAAAATAAATATAGGCACATAACATTTAATGATATCACTTTAAAGGCACAACATATTTTTTCTAAATACACAGGAAAAAATATAGAGTAAAAATCAACTCTAAAACATGGTTCAGATCGGTCCAATTTATTTAGAGTTATTTTTTTGCACTATATAGTGTAGGCGAATAGATTAAAAATTTACACTAAATAGTGAGAAGATGGTGTTTATTAAATAGTGTAAAATCGTTACTCTATAACAGTGTATTATATGTAATCTAACTAGCTGTTGTCGTGACTCTAATTAGATACATTTCTAATCTAATCAGTGTAAATTATTAAAAATTCGCTCTAATTTTACTCTATTAATTGACAAAATATCACTAAATAGTGTGTATCTTACACTTATTAGTGTTAATTTTTAATAGGAAGTGGAGTATTTTTAGGGAAGTTTTACGTTTGTAATAAAAATCAAAATTATAAAATATTTGTTTTTATTTTTACTTATAATATATTGTTATAACTTAAATTTAAAAATATTAAATTCTGTTTATATACATATAACATATATAATACTTAATTCATTTTAAACTTTCCACCGAGTCACCATCAAAACTGCATCTAATGAGTCTTCTATAAGTTTCCTATATGTAGTTGCACCAAGTTGCACATTTTTACCAATCTTCACAAGTATGTAAAATCTTCCGGAAGTTCCACTAATTTCACATCATGAATGTTTTATTTTGGCAAACATAATTAAAATAAAAATAATCGTTCTTTCTTTCTATATCGCGTAAATCAAGTCTCGAGACGCTATCGAGTTCCGACTCGTTTAGTAGATGACCGTTAAATTTTAGCTGTATCACACCACATGTTGATCACGTGGTACCGACGAGTAATCCCGAGCAAAATAGTGCGGTGCCTGCGAAGTACCCGAAGGAAAAGTACACGTCTAGTGTAAAATTTAATGTTTTATATATTACATAACTTCACTAACATAAGTAAAAAAGAACTCTCCTTTAGAGAACTGTAAAAACTACTCTATTAAGTGAATAATATATGAACTCTATATTAATATTAAATATAGTGTACATTAGAGTTATTTTTACCATGTGATATTACAATTTTTACTCTAATTCTTTTTACCAACTACTCTAAAATTTTTACACGACACGATTTTTTCCTGTGTATGGAATTTCATTACCATTTTCAAATAGCAACACCATTTTAAGACTTCTGTCAAATTATCACAAAAATGATAAAGACATAATGAAAGAAAGCGGGGTGTATAGCATTGGATGTGAAAATTGAAACTCACTGTACATAGGACAGACAGGTCGAAGGCTGGAAACTCGGGTCAGGGAGCATAAGACAAGGAGCAATTCAATTGTTTTTAAACATCATATGGAAACAGGACATAATATCAACTATAATGAAACAAAATTATTTCATAAATGTGAGAAGAGTTTTAAAATGGATCTTCTCGAAATTTTGGAAATTATGAAACATAAAAAAGATGATAACATTAATCTTCTTTATGATCAACTCGAATTGTTTTAAAAGATTTTACGTTGAAACGTTAGTTTTTATTGGTGTGTCTTGTTTTGGTCTTGTCTTTTTAGTTTGTAAAATGCGTTCCAGAAGAGTGCCTGTTTTATTGTTTGCAGTGACATAATTTTTAATGTGTTGTAGTATCTTAAATAGAGTATTGATGTTTCGAAAACTTTTATAGTAAAATTTTGACTGTGAGTATTTAGAAAATTAGTTCAATAGATTATAAATATATTAATTGTGGTCATTTTAACATGTTTGTAACAATTTTGTTTATAACACTAGTTTCGAATAAAATATAATAAAAGCAAGTAAGAGATTTTTATTCCTTATTTATTTAATTAATAGATAACTTGCAACATGGACAACGTGATTAACAGAGAAAAATGTTATTAAAATTGATGCTAAAAAAAGTTATCAATTTATGTTAATTCCTTTCTTCGGTTAAATCAAAAATTCTTTTCAAGTTTATTAATAATATTGTAGAAATCATATTTTACATATTCATAGAGAATTATTTAATGATTCAAATACAGAAAATCGCTCTTTGATATCTCGTTTTGTTAAAATACTCTGCCAAATCAACATTTCAGAGTGACACTTTTGTAAAGTTTAAGTGAAATCTTATTAATAAAAGAAAAGGAATCATTTTTTGATATTTTCATTAATCATTGAAAAATTTTGTATTAAAGTTGAGGTTAATAAAATCACCAATTTGTGTTACATAGTTTCTCAATTAACTTCAAAATTCTGGTATATTAGTAAAGTGAAGAAACTGCATTATGTATTCCTAGAATTCATGGAGAAACCCATTTACCCAACGTCTGTATAATTTAATAAGAAAACAGACTTAATAATCTGGTAATAACTTTCTGTTGGCTTCTTCCGAAGCTATTTTCGAAAGGATATTGGTTTCGAGAAGTGACTTTATTTATAGAGTAATAAAACGTGAACATTCGGGTCGAATGTCGCGTAAAATAACATTTGGGGAATAATAAAAACAAATAAATCACGAGATATTGTGCAATATGTATGAAATTGATGTTTAAAAAGTAATCGTTTCGAAACAAGTAAAGATTACAAGTTTATTTAAAAAAAAAATGAACGTATTTTCTTATTGTGTTTCAGTTAACTTTAGCGTGAAGTTGAATTGACTGAAAGGAATTTAATTGAATTTTTAGGAAACGTTTAAACATTGACGTTTGATACATTTGAAATAAAATTGTTTTTTTCTAATTTTTAGCACCACAGATTACATGCAAAATACGTCGCCCAAATTCTAAAAGAATCCATAGCAAAACTAAGAAAACTACCAAATCTAAACATCGCGACAACTTCAATTTCAAAACAAATTACGATATGTGGAGATTTACATGGAAAATTGGATGATTTACTTGTTATTTTGCACAAGGTAAGATTATTGATTAAAAATTGTTTGAAATGTACTTTATATCAATATTGAACCGGCGCAAACAGGATTCGGTTGCTTATTGTCTTCCCAGAGTTCCGTGACAAGAACCCTTTCAACAGGAAACATTATCTTGGAGGGGTTTCGCGTCCGTTTTGCTACTCCGCTAATATCTCGACGAAAAGTTCAAAGTTCACGTCATCATTGAAAATAATTTTCTAAATGAAAATCTTTTATTTATCCGAAATAATCAAAACTGGAGTTAAAAAGAAATACCTTTTTGTATTAAACTTTAAAAAAATAATTCTCCACAAGATTTAGATGTTACCGACTTTCTCGCAAATAAATCGGTGTGCCTGCTGGTATGCAAATGAAGTTTCGAAACGACAACCAAGCGACGACGGAGCTTTGAGGCTTCGAAAAGCTTGAAGCGTTCCCGTTTTAACGGGTAAATAAGAAACGAAAAGACGTCGTTATGAATTTAATTAAGATTTACGTCAAAGACGTATATTTACTATTCATGGTTCTTACTTTACTACAATGATTTTTTTATCGAAAAATGTTTAACTTTTCGATTTCTTTGTTAAATGTTTTAGAATGGTCTTCCGTCCCAAGAAAATCCTTACATTTTCAATGGGGATTACGTCGATAGAGGTAAAAAGGGAATTGAAGTCCTCTTATTACTTCTAGCATGTTTTCTTGCATTTCCTGGTGCTGTTTATTTAAATCGAGGTAATCATGAAGATAATGCAATGAATTCGAGGTGAGTTGAAAAGAAAAATTAGTTAAAAAGAGATACACAATTGTACGATCTGTTACAGATATGGATTCACGAAAGAGGTGCAAAGCAAATATAGGGTATGAGAAAAATCTCAAACATGAAAACTTTTAACGATGGCTTTTCCAGGAAAACGCCGAGGTTCTGCTTCGATTGATCGATGAGGTTTATCGATGGCTTCCATTAGGAACTATAATTAATAATAAAATTCTCGTCGTTCATGGTGGAATTTCAAATACGACCGATTTGGAATTGATTAAAGGATTAAATAGGAGTAAGGTGAGTCACTAAAAAAATAACCATATATATTAGGAATTCCATACAAGTTCCAAAGTTAAAATGTAATTTTGTTAAGACTTTTTTTAACTTTTCTCTGTTAGGTTAAGATATTAACCTTTCTGGAACGGAGTGTCTAAAATTTCACGAAGTCCGATGTTGGATACAAATGCATCCCAAGAAATTTATTTAATGTATGACAAAATTAATAAGAAAAATCGTAAAATATTAACAACATTTATTTAATAGTTATGAACAAAGAAATTATAAACAACTAAAATTATAAACCAAAAAAGTCTTTTAAGTAAAACTTGAAAATTAAAATGTTTTAACGAACGTTTTCCTTCTCTTGACAAATGGTACAAATTATTCTTTTTGACACCAGACAATGAGTGGAACAAACATATTTTTTTTGCATTTGTGACAAGCATTTCTTGTCCTTTTATCAGCTTTTCTTGGGCATATCATACAACGCTTTGGATATATTGATGAAGATGGGACTGGAATCTGTTAGTTTTGAGTTTCCTCCACAGGAACTAAGATACAGATCGCCTCCACAATTTTTTTAGATAAATGTTTGTCCTGTAGCCTTTTAGAAGCTTTAAGAGTGCTTGTCCAAGTTCTAATAAAAAAGTTCTTCTGTAGTCATTTTTTTTTAGTTCTGGATTTTTAGCTGTCCAAACTATACAAGCATTTACAGCTGCAACGTCCAAAATATTTTGAAATAATACAAAAGGCCATCTTTTCGTTCCTCTTTTCACTGAATATTCATTTACCATCTTATCCATAGTATCTACTGCGCCTTTACACCTGTTGTAATGTTCTATAATGTCCGACTTGAAATGATTATCCTCCTTTCCTATTTTATTATCATGATGCTCAGTACTGAGTACTATCATTGATTTAGCTTTCTTAGGTACGTAAGAAGTCAATGTTATATTATTCGTGAAAGCAAAAACGGAGGATTTTTCTGATTTATTTTTATTGGGCAAAAGTGCTGGCGGAATTTCTCTTTTGTTTTGCCAGAGTGTGCCACACAATGTAAAATTACGATTAGATAGTTCATTAGAAAATGGTATACTTGTAAAGAAATTATCAGTAATAATACCATAACCTCGACCAATACATGAAACCAAGTCAAGTAAAACACGCTTTCCTTGTTGTTTTTCAGGTTTCTATATATTTTTAATACGTATACCTGCAAATTCATTGCATATGTATTTTCCACATCAACAAGGTCCCATATTTTTATGTCGTACTTAGCTGGTTTAGACTTTATATATACTCGAAAGGGGTAGAGTAGAGGGAGGTAAGAGTCTGCACTTAGGACATTGTATTTTTTTACGCCTATATATTTTTATCCAATCAGCTGAATATTTGCATGAGATATTAGTATAAAGTTCTACTTTGTTATAAATAATAGTACTGCCATGATTTTAAAACGTTGTTCATTGAAAAAATTAACATACATGTTGTGTCAAAATGGGACTTTTGCCCCACATGTGGAGCAAGAGGCCGCGACTGGTGGGATAAAATTCCGCACTTTTGAAAGCTAGGCAAAAGTGCAGTAATAGATATTTAAAAACTACAAATAACAAACAAACATAAAATAAACATTAACATTTATTATTTATAGGAAGGAAATTCAACAAAGGTCGCAAATAAATCTGCCCGTTTCGTAACTCGTGCACTCTTCATGCCACCATTGTTTGCAGCTATCGCACTGAATCCATTCCTCCGTTGGTGGTTCCTCGTATAGTTCTCCGCAGCCTCCACAAAGCACTTCGCCATCGGTTTGATTTTGCCTTTTAGGTTTTTTCAGTATCTTGCTTTTGCGAGGCATGAATTTAGTTTTTTCATCATCGTCTTTAAATATCTTCTTACTAGTTTTTTTTTGTTTTTCTTTATTATCCTTTTGTCTCTGTTGCTCCTCAAGTTTATCTTTGAAAGGAGTGCTGGATAGAATTTCAGATTGGTTGCCTCTATTTGATCTCTTTCGATGTTTTGCAATCCTGGGTTAAGGCAAAATCTCTCTTGGTTACCGTTGGAAGAGGATGGTTGTTGTACATCTGGATCAGTCCTTGAGGCTAGTGTTTTACTGTTAACTGCGTCTTTGGAACAGGATGGTTGTTGTGCATTTGGGACAGACGTTGGAGACGGTGATGTACTGCAAAATGTTTCCTTGGAACATGATTGTAGTTGTGTATCTGGAACTGGTATACTACATCCTGGGGGAACATCATGGTTACTAGTACTTTCATGTTCATGAGGTGTGGTGGGTGCTTGATCGGTAACTTGAGAAGGTAGAAAATCTTCTTCACTAAAGATAAATCGATTGAAAGGAACGATACCGCACATTTTGAATGCATTCACTGCCTTTTCCATTGTAGCACATTTCAAATACGCATTTCCAAAAATTTCTGCAATTTGAAATTGAGTTATGGTTCTCGCCGGGTTGCTGACCATCCACTGATCGGAGCAAGCTCCATATAAGTCCTTAAGTGATTTGAAGAAGCGTCTGTCTAGTGGCTGTGTCTTGTGGCTGCTGTGAGGCGGAATTGTGGCGAGTAGGTGAATGTGGTTTGTTCTACAAAACGTTATTGTCTTAATTGTTATATGTGAACTATGGTTGTCAAGTATTAGCAACACAGGATGTTCTTCGGATGATTTTACATGTGTTTGAAAATGTGCCAGCCATTCAATAAATCAATAACCTGGTGGTGCATTGAACCTGGTGGTGCCCCATTCATAAGTTCGTCTTTTTTGCGCTTTCTAGGAAAAATTAAAGCGGGTGGTATGTAGTTTCCCGAGGCAATGAAGCAGCATACCGCAGTTACAAGCTGGCCTCGTTCAGTGGAGACAACTTTTCCAACAGCCCTTTTTCCTTTCGTACTAATCACTTTTGGTATTCGATTTGGAAATGAGTGGGAAATTATATTTTTCAAAAATAGTCATTAGATTATCAAAGTATCTGTTTACTTGCACTTCGTTGAATCTCATTATCCGCCCACGCTTGTTTTCTGAGGAATCCGCAAAGTAAGATTGTGCCTTTTCATGAAACTTCGAGACCATTCCTTCCCTGCCAATCCTTTCTCCTTGTTGAAGTGGTGGTTTAGATTATTCCTTTCTGCAAACTCGAATTCCAAACGTTGCAAGGACTTAAACGTTATCCCATAAAATCTTAGACTTAACTGCCTGCAATGTTCTGCTAACTCTTCTTCTTGTTGTCGGTGAAAGATGGATGTGAAACGTCCAAGCTTTGACGCACCACATCCTTTCTTAAGCCTTTTTCTTAAAGTGGATTCATCAATTTTCAATTCCTTTGCAATTTGTCTGTTTGAAATACCCTCCTCTCTTCTTTGTCTTGCTACCATTAGCATGTCCTCTGTGAAATTTTTTCGCTAGGTTTTTCTTTTGTAGACTCTGAAAAGTATCAAAAACTCAGTGTCTAAGGCTCGGCTTAACCGGTGATCACTTATTTTCTAATAAAAACACGTGACCGCATGCGGACTTATGCCCCCACTTCCTAGAGGACTCTTGCCCCATGTACCCAAACCATTTGCTTATAATGACCCGCCTAAACCACCAAACATTACACCGACTGTAACCTATAAGTTTGTAGTAAGTAACATGCGTTTTCAATAAAAAAATTACTGATTAAGGTTATTACTTTCTTTTTACATGTAAACGTAATCTCTACAAGGGCTAATTTTACATCAAATATAAGAAAAATCGTACTTACCTCATGGTTCTCCAACAAGCTATGTTCGCTCGGTATAATTCAGTAGCCACGTTCTAACTGATTAACTCCGCCTAGCGAAAAGTTATTTAACTAGGCCTACCGTTAAATTTGAATGTAGGACTCTTGCCCCATGCGGACTTTTACCTCGCTCTACTCTACTTGCCCCTAAATCCAACAAGTTGTTCGTCCACTGTAAGATGGGTATTTGGGTTGAAACCATCTTTACAATTAGTCACAAATAACTCAAAAACTTCTCTAATTGCCGCAAGTTTGTCTGTATTTCGTCGTTCTACTCTAGTTGTAAAATCATCATACGTCATAAATGAGATAAGATGTTGAATTCTTTCACGAGACATAGCGGCGGTAAATATTTCTCGAGGATTCTTGCTTCACAAGAATCTCAGTGGTTCTCTTTTTTGCTTTTAGAGCCCCCATGTAATTAGAACACCTATTACAGCATAAACTTCACCTCTATCTGTTGAAATCCAGGTCCTTTTCTTTTCGGGATTCTTAGTGTTATATTCCCGGTAAAATTCTTCAACTTTTTGATTTGCCCATTTCACTGTAATGTCGATCATTTCGTAACTCATAAACAACTTCAAACAATCTACACTGTTTTTAACGGTTTCCGATTTCGCATTTAGGCCTGGGTTGGTATTTACTATGTCCCGAGTTGAACGACGACGTGGTTTTGATGGAATAGGACTCCATTTAGTCCCATCCTTAACCATGAACAGAACACCTTCTTCCTCGTCTTCGTTTTTGTCATCATCACAGCTAGATTCATACTAAGAAAAACACATTTGATTTACATCATAAATTTACAAAAATCTTTAGAGATATCAGAAAAAACTTCATTTTCTTCATCAGATTCCTGCTCTGTCTCCATATTACATTATCTCGAAAAATCCAGTTTTATTCTTTTCGACATGGTTATCACTGTTCATACAAGCACGAACATGAACAAACCTGATTGCATTGATGTGAGACTGCATACGAAGGCCGCCGTAATGAGGGCCGGTGATGTCATATACTGACGCGAGGTATTATGGTAGGGTTGGTTGAACAAATTTTTACACAAATCAGATCATGACACATCATAATATCTGGTGGTATTACGTGCGACGGTTCTAAGAGTGAACCACGTATAGTACTTATTTAATTTGATTTGGGCGTAATAATTAACTTTGTAGAATAAATAATTGCTGGTGTAATAGTAAATAACATAAGAAACAATTAAAAAAAAACTGGCGCACAGAAA